TATATATATTGTTTACAATGTACATAACTGTTTACGATACTGTTTACAATGTACATAACATATTATTCACCGCAGAGTTCATCCATAGTAAAACAAGAAATATTTTTATAGTATATAACGGTACATTTATCATAATAATGTATGTATTACAGTAATGTCAAAATCTTTTACATTATGCTTACACCCATGTAATGCTACTGAACAATAGGTCGTCTATGGTTATTTCATGTCATAGTGTAGTAGTGCTAAATAGATATATACTACAACAGCACTACATAAACTATAGTGCTTAAGATGCGACTGCACAGCACGTAACTGAATACGGACGAACAGAATTGATATAAAGACAGTCAGTAGTGTACAGCAAATGCATATTGTACAATGAATGAAATTTATAAAATAACAGCCTTAAATTCATTCAAAGAGCACGATTATACAATAAAACATGGTCTATTTGATGCTATATGATGCATCACTACAATATGTTATATAACTACTAAATTATAGACATGTTTTCTTCATCTTTTCTTAGCAGCATGTGGTACGTATAAATGATTTTGATAAATTTGTATGTAACAGAATAAGGACAGACTCGTAAATATATTCGATAATCAGTAATCCTAGTATATTGTCCATTGCTTGATAAACGCATACCAACGATGTTTTCCTTACTCTTCTACAACTGGTACTTTTGAAACATTCCCTTTTCATTAAGTGAGAAGACGAAAAGAAAGTGCGCAAGCTAATTTTGAGAAACATCACAATCGGTTCAATTTCAACCTTCCCCTGATGGTCGGCGATTGGGAGACAGGACTAAGCGTATGGGCTAAAGCAAATGCTACAGATCGGTGCCAAAAATTAACGCAAACCAGTTGTCGACTGTCATCGTGCTTTCAGTTTACACCAAAGCGACCAACATTTGTGTGCCATTGGAAAAGGGGATCCAGAGAGTGGCAGCGAAGAAACAAAGACAAAATAATAATATACATAAGAAATTATAAGCCATACCTTTTAGAAGGCGGAGGAGAACCTCTGAAGAACTCCGCGTCGTGCATCAAAAAGTCAGGAACCTCCTGATTCGTCTGTTTGAGAGTTCGAATAAGATCTTTGCAAATGTTATGGTTTTCTTCAGAAACATATAGAGACGTTGCCCGACCTAAATAACATTTTGAATTCAAAACACGCTGCTTACTTTAGGAATAGGCTACAGTTTATGCAAATTTTAATCATTCACCAGGTGAGACAATGACAATGGCGGCCGTACAGTGCACTCATCAAGTAACATGTTTGTAAATAGCGCACGTTCTGCCACGACCAGATCAGAACACCGTACTCACCCCATTATTCACAAACCACTAAATGCCCGCAGGTTTCTCAGCCGGCTGCACCGCCGAACAAAGGAGTAAGTTCCATGAGGGAGTAAGAAGTCAAAATGAAAATTTTACGACGGCCTTATTCGAATCCGCACTTCTAGAGCGTATTGTTGAATGATTTCACTCCGCACCATTGCCTTTCCTCCCGAGCTTATGTTCATAAGAATATCACAAATAAAACAATCGCCTCAGGTCAGTTATGGTTATGAACTGTCCCACAAGAGTTAGAAAATGACAGTGTTGCAGGCCACAAAACCTTTCACTGGCATACACCAAATCAGGGGTTCCAAAAATAACATTTTCTATAAGTTTAAAGTGTCAAATCCAGGAATTTAGGAAATTAGAGCATTGTTTAATACAGCAAAACA